TTTGAGACTCTAATAACTCTGGGGCAATCTCATTTTCATTATACCAGGAAAGATAACAGATTACACCAATCACAAACTAGCCCAAGAGATAAAATCAGCAACAACAATGGAATCAAACACAGCTTAAAAAAATGACAATTTGTGGTAGTTATTAATCTATCACCTTTAACAGTGTGAAATAAAGCAAAATTGAAGACTAGCCCAAAATATGTTTATAATGAATAAAGTGATCAATATTGTAACTTTACCCTTCAGGATGAGGACTTAGGAAGAGGAAGCCCTCTTACTATTCTTCACTTCTGCTTTAGCTCAGGGCACTGGCCATTAAGACTCCCTGTGCTTTTGCAGTTTAGAAGAGGAACAGGGGTAGCCAGGAAGCCAGAAGCGAGGTGGGGTGGGGATATTTCTGGAAGCGCAGGGTGAATCTGGTCCTCACTGGGTTCTCTGGTGGCAGGGAGGTTGGTCTGCTGTTGGGCGGGGCCCGGGTGGGGGAGGGGCTGGCACTGATGGTTTCATGCAGCTCTGGTATGTGAAATAGTAAAATAAATTGTTTAAAACTTCAACAAATTTAGTTATAAATTTTTAAAATTATTATGAATGAATAACATTTATAGTTTTTCACACTAGAGAAACGATTCAGTATTTACACATGTGTGACATGTATTTCACTTGAGTATATCCTCAATATGTATCCATTTTCCTATGAATGAACCTAATTTTTCATTCTTTATTTCTGAAAAACTATAATAGTATATAAGATCCTAGTGAGATAATTGACAATGTGAAATAGGAAGAAAAGGGCTGAAGGTGTAGGGAAAATGGGAAGGGTAGGGGAAAGGTAATAAGGGAAAAGAAAAAAAAATGAGAAAATGAAAAACTGGAAATAAATGTTTATAAATAGGGAGGGGAAGAGGGGGTGAAGGAAGGGCAGGGACAAGGGGAAAAAATGAGAAGCAAGACCTCGTGCAAGATCCCAATAATGAATGTAACTGTACTGTTACCTAAAATGCACCAATAAACTCAATGAGAGAAAAAAAAAGAATGACATTTAACATGTTACATATAAATGTTAGCTTGCCTGACAAGGGCACAATGAAAAAGGTAGAGGGCCCATTTTTATTCAATTTAAGTAAGGGAGAGAAATGACTCACCAGAGATGAACAGCAAGGAGAACACAGGTGAAGTCTCCCCAGGGCCCCAGAGCCCCCACTCCTGTTTTGAGCCCCTGGAAGGTCCGGCTCCTGGGCATCCTGATGGTGCTGAGTGCTCTGCTGTGGTCCTCAGCTCCCTTTGGAGGGACTGAGCCTCCCCTGATTAACTGAGCATGGCCTGCTGGTCCTGATCACAGAGAAGTGAGGTTTGTGTTTGGGCTCAG